TTTGACTGAAAAAGAGCTAATTTCTAAAATTTAGTAATACAAGTTCTCTTAGTCTTTTTTTCTATTGCTAAAACAAAGTGCCTGAGATCAGGTAATTTATGAAGAATAGAGGGGTTTCTTTGCTTACAGTTCTGAAGGTTAGGAAGTCCAGAGTGTGGCACCTGCCTCAGCTGGGCACTGGCGGGCCCTTCTTGCTGCATCATGACATGGCAGAGGGYGTCACATGGGAGATAGCAGGTGTGCCAACTTGGGTCTCTTCCTCTTCCTATAGAGTCACTGACGCCATTATGGTGCCATCTTCATGACCTCATCTAATCCTAATGGCCTCCCAAATTCCCTCTCCATATACCATGAAAATATGGATTAGGGATTACTTATAATACATGGACTTTGGGGGGACACATTCAAACCGGAGTATACCTGCAATACCAAATACATTGACTATTCTGAAACTAAAGACTAAAATGTTGAAATTGAAACCTTCCATCAGAGTTAAAGACACCACCAAGATAATTACTAAATCATTCAGACAAGTAGAGGTTCCCCTCCGAGACTCCCAGCAGGCCCCGTGGTGTAGGGATGAGCAGGGATGGGGCACTACCACGTCCAGCCTTCCCACCCGAGTTGGGCTTCATCTCTCTGGGACTTTATTGAGTCAAACCTGAGCAAAGGGCAGACCTCATGGCTGGACTAAATCAGTCTGGTCACATTTCAGTTCTGGAAAACTTGCTGTGTGCTTCCAGTTGGCCGGACTAGCATGCTTAAAAACAGTAAATGGCAGCCTGCTAGAGCCGGCCTGCATTCCACGTTTCTGTCAGCCTTGAAGGTCACGACCCCAGAGCTCTGTTCTTGGGTGGATTATGAGACGTGCAACATTTTCCATGGCTAAGCATGTAGGTGGTCAGTCTGCTTTCCAAACCAGTGCACCGTATGACCTGGGGCCAACTCCCTTGAGTTCCAGGTTTTACTTCAACTTTGCTTTAAACRTATTAATTGGCAGATGAAAAAGGACATGTCTGTATCTATATCTGTAGCACTCTTCCACTGAATTGTATCCCCAGTCCCCCGATTCATTCATATTCTCTTTCTCTTTGGGGGTACTGGGGATTGAACCCAGGGATGCTTCACCATTGAGCTTCATCCCTAGTCCTGTTTTTTGAGTCTGGGTCTCTCTAAGTTGCTGAGATCCTCCAGTCTCCCAAATCTCTGAGATTACAGATGTGTACCACTGCACCTGGCCTCGATTGTCTCTTAATCAGAGATCAGCATTGAGTTTGTTTTTTTAAATRAGCATGAGATACTCTTTATATATGTGGTGGTGAKGATCTAACCCAGTGCCTCATACGTGCTAGGCAAGTGCGCTACAACTGAGCCACAACCCAGCCCAGCACTGGGTTTTGACGTAATGCCTGATAGAATGGTTTTTGGTGAAGGTGAGCCGGCTTTCCACCTTTGTAGGTTGGGTGCTTTTAAACCTTTCCCAGTTAGTGATAGGTTTCACTTCATGACTCAGGTTCTGTGTTGGGTCCTGCCCTGAGTTGATGGACAGAGGTGATGGCCTGAGCTTAATTAAGATCACRGCCTCTTACAGACTAAGAAGGGGAGCTGCAGCAAGAACTGGGATTCTGCGGGAGCTGTTGGCGCCCGATTGGAGGATGGAGGAACAGGCAGCACTACTACCAAAAGGTGGTGTGTCATTCTGCTGGGGAGTGGGGTTTAGTGAGCAGTTCCACAAATGATGAACAACTTTGCAAATGGCTTTTATGAGTGGGGCCATCTTGAGTGGGAGGTGCCATCTGCAGGCACTTTCTCTCTGGCTTCTTTCTTGGTGTCTAGCAGGAGTGTTGTCCATCTTGGTGCTCTGCTCCTCTGTATTTACTCACAATATTTGTTATAAGGAGTTGCCTTTAAAAAAAAATTCTTTGCATGGTCTTCTGATGTAGGGAGAACACATACTTTCAGAGCTTTTGACACAAATTTCAAAATTTTGCTTTAGAATATTTTAATAACTATATCAAATTTATAAAATTTTTTAAATATTTATTTTTTAGTTATAGTTGGACACAACATCTTTATTTATTTACTTTTATGTGGTGCTGAGAATTGAACCCAGGGCCTTGTACATGCTAGGCGAGCACTCTACCACTGAGCTATAATCCCAGCCCCAAATTTAGAAATTTTTAACCAGTTTTAAAAGAGAGGATCACAAATATTTAAGCTTTAGAAATAAAATTCTGACTTTCCCTTAATATTTATTATGAACATTTGGAAACAAAACGTTGAAAGAGAAGAAGTGTGATTCCCTGCCACCTGGAGTCCACCGTGGTTGATGTCTGGCCCAAGTGTACTTAGTTATGTGTGTATTTTTGTTGACCCAGATGAAATAAGTTGTGGCTATCATAACCTAAATCGACATGCCTCAGCCCAACCCCTCAGAGTTAGAGGATCATGCAGTGAGCACACAGCATTATCAAACTGTCAAGGTAACACTCACTCTCTAATACCGACTTTATTTCATATCTCCCCAAATGTCCTTAAATTGTCTTTTACAGCATTTTCCTCTCCTTCCTTTTCTTTTGTTATGGTGGGTTGTGTGTGTTTGGATTTTTGAGACAGGGTCTTATTATGTTGCCCAGACTGTTGTCCAACTTCTGGACTCAAGTGATCCTCCCTCAGCCTCCTATTAGCAGGGACAGGAGGCATGCACCACTGTTTCTGGTCAGCTTTTGTTTTGTTTCTTTAGTTTCTTTTAACCCCAGACACTTCCCATACCTTTTATAGAATTTTAAACTTTAAAAAGCTCTGTTTTGAATTTCAGACACACAAAGAAGTCGCAGAAATCATACAAAGATTTCCTGTATGCTTTCTCCAAATTGCAGCGTTACCAAACTCTAGCTTTATTGTGCTTGCTTTCTCCATCTCTSATATTCTCTCTCTCTGTATAAACACACTTTGTCTCTCCCTCTCCAACATTTGAGAAAGTAAGGCACAGGCATGATGCCCGTCTTGGCTACATACTTGACCATGCATCCCCAAACCAGAAGACTCCACTAACTGACCCTAGTACGGTGGTCAGGTAAGGAAAGTAGCACTAATACAGTACTAAAATCCACTCTGACTTTGGGGATTCTGCCATTTGTTTTACTAATGAGCTTTACAGAAAGAAAAGGACATTGGGGGCCCAGACCCAGTTCAGAGTCACGCTGTGGTGGTGTTTCTCTCTGACCTTTTGTGATCTTGACTTCTCAGGCCCCTGGCTGTCTACTTTGTAAAATGCCCTTGCTTTCATCAGCTTCTTCACTGCAACGATCAACAGACCTGACAAGAACAGTTTAAGGAGGAAAAGTACTTGGGGCCTGAGGGGGTGAGATGGATGTGGTGGAGGAAGACTGTGAAGACAGGGTGCTGGGAGGAAGAGAGACTAAGCTCAGCTGGCACAATCGTGCCCAAAGGCACACCCGCAGTGACCCGCTCCTCTAGGCACATCCCACCTGTCTGCAGCCACCTGTCAGTAACCCTGTCCTGCAGCTTGGGGTCCCAGATGATGAGGGTCTCAGGGGTGATGCTGGGCTGGAGTCCACAGGGGTCAGAGGGGCAGGTGGAAGTGAAGTTGGAGAGAAGACAGGATTTGAAGGAGGGCCAAGTTTTGATCAAGGAGAAACCGGTAAGAGACACTCAGGGACAAGTTTGCACATGTGTGGTGTCTCTGCCCTGAGAGTGGGATTGAGGGTGGGTGGAGCACAGCGTGGTGACCACACAGTCCGTGGTGCATGAGCCTTTCCCTGTGTCTTCACCGTTACACACACTGCTCCCTAGTGTGAGCGGCTCTTGCTGTTGGTAGGGTTGTTCCCAGGGGCAGAGTTTCAGGTGACAGCGCTGCTTCCCGTCCTGCTCCCGGGGGCTTTGCACTCACCAGCTGTGGTGCTCAGCGGCCTTCTCCTTGACCCTCAGCTGTTCTTTGTGTGATTGGTATCCCGCCTCCACGGCTTCAGTGGCGCTGCCCCGTTCTTCTCTTGTCCCACTGGCTGCTGGGTCCCGTCCTCCTGACCTCCAGACTGACCTGGCACAGCTGCCTCCCGACTCTTCCTGGTGGTCTCCTCTCGTCTGGGGGCTTCACACACTGCATTTGTTGGCAAGGGCAGCTGTGACAAACTGCCACAAACTGGAAGGCTGAGAGCAGTGTGCTCTCCTGGCAAACGCGAGGCCTCGGTGCCATCGCAGGCCCTGTGAAACCAAACCAAACCAGGATACAGTTCTGGAGACCGGAGTTCGGGGCTCTGCCGCCCCTGCAGTCTCCAAGGGAGCGTCCTTCCTTCCCTCTTTGACCTTCTGGTGGCGCCAGTCATCTTTAGGCTCGTGTTGCTTGCAGATGCCACCACAGTCCCTGCTTCTGTCTTCTGTGGGGTCCCTGGGGTACCTCAGATCTCCTCCTCTCTTCTAAGGACGGCCAATCCCTGGGCTCTAAACCTGGGATGCTCTCTCCTCGAGACCCAAAGTCATCCCATTTGTAGTCCATCTCTTTTTTTTCAGGTGTTTATTTTTTAGTTGTAGTTGGACACAATATCTTTATTTATTTTTACGTGGTGCTGAGGATCAAACCCAGGGCCTTGTACGTGCTAGGCGAGCTCTCTACCGCTGAGCCCCAGCCCCAGCCCTATAGTGCATTTCTTTTTTTTTTTTTAAATGTTTTTTAAAAATGTTTATTTTTTAGTTTTAGGTGGGCACAATATCTTTATTTTATTTTTATGTGGTGCTGAGGATCGAACCCAGTGTSTCACGCATGCCAGACAAATGCGCTACCACTTGAGCCATTTCCCAAGCCCCCTATAGTTCATTTCTAAATCAGGTCCCACATGCAGTTCCTGGGTGTAGGGAGTTAGACATGTCCACACATACTAGCTGTACCCTGATGGTGACCAAGTGTGTTTCCAGCCCAGATGCCTGTGTGGTTCTGAGAAGCCTCTCCAACCTGAAATGTCTCATCTTGTTTTCCTTCCCAGGCTAAGAAGCTGCTCTTTACCTGTCTACTTGTCCTGGGATCTACATCTCTGCTCCTCCAGGTGCTCAGGTGGGAAGCTCAGCCTGTTCTGGTCCCTTCCTTCCATACTCCGGACTGCCCACAGGCCCCTTGGCTCACCTCTGTCTGGATTCCCAGTGCCTACACCCCAACCCCAGCTCTCCTGGGCTCCAAAGGTACACAGTCTGTTTTGCTCATGAAGTCAGAGCTTGAGTCACATCATCAGCTGTGTTTTCCATCCTGTGTGGGACACCGGCATCCTCWCTGTGGCCATAGTCACCTCTCATGCACCTCCCTGCTTCCTCCTCTGCTCTGTCCAGTCACCCTGTTTCCTGCCTTCCTTTGGCCCTGTCACTTCCTGAGTGTACTTGCGTGCATATCAAGGCCTGTCTTGCCATCAGTTTGTGCCTGTGCCCCTGCCTGTGTCTTGTTGGCCTATTTGTTTCTGTGCCCCAGTGCCCAGAACTGCCCAACACAGCAAGCATTTGCTGAAGGAGGGAAGGAGTGGCCTCATGTGCCCCATGGTTTTCATGAAGTCATGTCTTAGCCCTTCCACACACTAGCTCCTCAGCCTGGGACAAGCCCTGTCCCTGTGATAGCTGCAGAGCCATGCTGCTGAGGCTGAGACCGGCAAACCTTTGGCTAGCTCTGTGGGCCTGGCCACATTACTCGGTGCTCAGCTGTAAGTGGGCATTATGTGAAGAATCCCTCCTGGGGTAGCATGTCAGGAGGTGGCCTGGCTGCAGCGTTAGTGGTCAGGAGACAGACACCTGTCAACTGTCTCCATTAAGGCTGCTGCTGATTCCTTCCCTGGCTGGCTTGGCTCACACTTAGCACCGTCCCTGAAGTGCTGCTGGACTTCCCCTAGTGACTTTGTGGTCCTGCTAGTGCAAGACAAGTGGCATGRCTATGCTTGACTTGCGTGTGGCCTTCTTGGCAAGCCCTAGCCCGCCCGACTCTCAGTGGCCACACTGTACCCGAGCAGGTCTCGCTGGCTGGTTGGACCCACACTCCTGCGCAGCTCTGCAGTGCCTCTCGCAGCCCCACTGCAGGTGCTTCTTACAGCCACACATCCTTCCAGCTCATCAGGGTGGAGGTTTTAAGTATCTTGAGGCAAGTGGCCATTATTTACGTATTTGTGTTACATGTGCAGCTTTATAGCAGTGCCGTTTTGGCCACCTTCATCCTGTCCTTTCATTCCTTGTTCACTGTTCCTCTTTGGAGCACCCATCTCCCTTTCTCAGGGTATCAGGGCTGGTTTAAATGGCCTTCCCTGGGGCCTGCATGAGCCCATGGCTRTGAGCCACTCCCACCTCTGTGCTTCACCCTGTGCTGCCCTCCTGTTGCTCTTCTCCTCCACACCTGTCTACTCCCAGAAGAAAAGGGCTCTCGAGCCAACTTGCTCCTTGCTGCATCTCAGGCCTCCTGTGTTAGTTGGCTTTTGGTCACTGTGACTGAAATACCCGATTAGAACAACTTAGAGGAGGAAACTTTATTTTGGCTCCCAGTTTCAGAGGTTTGCTCCTTAGCTCTGGACTCAAGATGAGGTAGCACATCATGACGGAAGGGCATGGTAGAGAAAAGCAACCCAGGACAGGGCGGCCAAGAGGGAAGAGAGAGAGAGAGGGAGAAAGAAGGCAGGTKGGGGGAGGAGGGAGAAGAGAGAGAGACAGGGAGATTATAAACCCAAAGATATATCCCCAGGCTCTACCTGCCTATAGTTACTGCCCAGTTAATCTATCAGTGGATCATCCTCTTATTAGGTCAAGCATCTCATAATCTAATCATTTCACTTCTGAAAATTCCTGCATTATCTCACACATGAGCTTTTGGGGGACACCTCATATCTAAACCATAATAGCCCCCAACACTTGTCTTGCATACGAGGCAAGTGCTGGTATCTTTGGGTGGTGGGCCAGCTGGTTGACAATGCAAGGGCAAATCAGGGAGCAGTGCAGGTTGTTGATGGCTCATCAAGTGAAGTGCTATCCAGGAGGGTCTTGGTCATAGCAGGGTGTCAGGGTCAGGGTGTTTTTTCTATATAAAAATATGTGTGCACAGGTGGTGTAGAATAAAGAACATTAGCCAGGTGTAGTGGCACATGCCTGTAATCCTAGCGGCTTTGGGGGCTGAGGCAGGAGGATCACAAGTTCAAAGCCAGCCTCAGCAAAAGTGAGGTGCTAAGCAACTCAGACCTTATTTCTAAATAAAATACAAAATAGGGCTGGGGATATGGCTCAGTGACCAACTGCCCCTAAGTTCAATCAATCCCTGGTACCAAAATAAAAAACAAAAACAAAAAAACATGTTGTATAACTGTTAGTGCTCTTCTAATGCTCTTCTCCTTTTGTTTTCCCAGATATCATTTGCTTCTGTCTCAAGATGATTTGATGTCTTAAATAAAACTCTTTTGTCAACCATGATGGCCACACAGACGTTGAGTATAGACAGCTATCAAGATGGGCAGCAAGTGAGAGCTTGAGCTTTATTCTGCATTCTGATTATTGCCAGTCATTCAGTTTCTGTGAGGTTGCACATTCAGTTTTAAATATATTATGCATTTATTATATATTGGTGTTCAGAAAGATAAGCCATAGAATTATTCACATTATATCCTTAAGTGATACATTTGGAGTCTCCCTCCATCATATGAATTCTTTGGGAATTTACTTTTTTAAGGTCAGTGTTAATTATGTGACTTTTAAAGAAAAGCTGGGTGCTTGCCTAGCATATGTGAGGCCTCCACCAGCTCCACAAAAATAAAAATAAAAAGAGAGCTGGATGTGCTGGCATGTACCTATAATCCCAGCCACTCAGGAGGCTGAGGTAGGAGGATTCCAAGTTCCAGGCCAGCTTCAGCAACTTAGCGAGGCTGTGAGTAACTTAGTGAGACTCTGTCTCAAAATATATTAAAATAAAAGGGCTAGAGATATGGCTCAGTGGCAAAGTGCCCCTGGCTTCAATCCCTGGTACCAAAAAATAAAATAATATTAATTTTAAAAAAAAGAAAAAAGAAAACCCAGGTGTTTTTTTTTTTATTTGTTTGTTTATAATTCTGGGGATCAAACCCAGGGTCTTCTGAATGTTAGGCAGCTGCTCTGCCATCAAGCTACAGATCTATTTTGACAGCCAGATTCCTACATTGACAGTCACTAATCTGAGTCTCACTGGATTAACTTCCCTAGTTTCATCTCCCCACTTACAAGTATGGGAGGGCACTGACCCAGTAACCAGCCCTCCCAGCAGAGCTTCAGAGCAGACCCACGGGCGCTTCTCGACTGTCCTCCCAGTTGGAGGAGTCTTCCCCTTGGAGCTGCAGTATATGTGTTTGTGTATCTGGTGGTGTGTGCTCTGTGACCAGCAAGGGTTGGGGAGGGGAAGGAGGCCAGCTGAGGCATAGGCTGAGAACTTCCCAAGTGCCCTGCATGCTCCACATCCTGCTGGGGTTTGGCGCATTCTCCATGGCGTTYCTGCCCATCAGAGGGGAAATGGAATACACGCCCTGGATGCCCCTGCTCCCCATGAGGCTCCATGCAGCTGGGGAGGCTTCTGGCAGTGAGGYGAGTCGTGTCTCCCTTACCCTGGTGGCCAGTTTTGTACCATTCTTATTTGGTTCCTGTTGCAGAGACTTTGTTTTTTTTGTTTGTTTTTGTTTTTGTTTTTTTAAAGAGAGAGAAAAGAGAGAGAGAATTTTTAATATTTATTTTTCAGTTTTCGGTGGACACAACATCTTTATTTTATGTGGTGCTGAGGATCGAACCCAGTGCCCCGTGCACGCCCGGCGAGCTCGTTACCGCCTGAGCCACACCCCCAGTCCAAGAGACTTTGTTTTTTGTTGCATGTTTTTGCATCTTGCAGGCATCGAGAGAGGGTCATCCTGGATAGAGTTTCAGCCTGCTTAATCTTGACCTGGAAGTCCTTGGATATTTCCACTTGATTTTTTTCCCCCCTGAAGTGCAAATCTGACAATATGCTCCCTTCTTAACCCCTCCAGGGACTCCCCATGGATTTTAGGTAAAGTCCAAGCTGCCCCCGACCCACATGGCCTGGTTTCCGTGGACCCTCAGGTCACCCTCAGCCCCTTATCCACACTCACCTCTGCCAGGCCCACCTTGGCACCTCTTGCCGGCCGGGGGGCTGGCCCTGGCTRTTCCTGGCAGTCTTCCCTTCTCGTGCTTCAGTTTGGGCTCAGATGAGCCTTGCCACCTGCCTCCCATTGTGTGTTCTGTCAGAAGGAGCAGTGATGGTCCCCTGGCCTGGCCTGGGCACCCTGCTTCATCCTGCCACCACGTGTGGTGCTCCTTCAGTAGCTGAAAGTATCCCCAGGACTTGAGGGGCCTGTCATGAGCATTATTTTAAATAAACATTTCGTGGTTTCTAGTATAGACGTATCATAATTACTTAGCCATTTCTTTAAGGTCAAACTCTTAGATTTCTCTTTTTTCATTCATTAATAAGAAAATACTGAGGGCTGGGGTTGTGGTTTASTGGTAGAGCACTTGCCCAGCATGTGTTGAGTGCTGGGTTTGATTCTCAGCACCACATAAAAATAAATAAATAAATAAAATAAAGGTATTGTGTTCAACTACAACTAAAAAAACAAAAGGAAGAAAAAAAAGGGCTGGGGCTGGGGCTCAGTGGAATTGCACTTGCCTGGCATGTGTGAGGTTCTGGGTCTGATTCTCAGCACCAGTGTAAATAATAAAGGTCTATCAACAACTAAAAAAATTTAAAAAAAGAAAAAATATTGAAATAAACCTTGTAAGGCTTTTTATACTACTGTGAGATTGCCCTCCAGAAGGAKTGTATTTGATTGTACTTTAGTTGCTTTTTTTTTTTTTTTTAAGAGAGAAAAATACATTCTCAAGATGTAAACTTATCTTAAAGGCAGCAGAATGGACATCCTAGAGCACCTTTCTGGACTGAGAGAAGAGAGCAAAGGGCCAAAGAGGATTCCATGGGGTGGGCATGCCTGGCTACCTTGGAGGGGCAGAAGCCTGGCAGGCTCCTCAGAATTTCTCAGACCCCTGGTCATGAAGAAGTTAGGTTGGGTAGTCCAAAGTTTACTGCAGCAATTTTGTTTTTTTTTGTAACGTGGAATTCTTTGAGGATTTAACTATATTTTACGCAAGTGACAAACACATGGCTTGTCTAAAGCAATCTATGTCTCTAAGCTTTCAGTAAGCATGGCTGGTCTTTACTTTCTAAATGCATGACATTTTATAAATTTGCATCGTGTGTGTGTGTGTATGTGTGTGTGTGTGTGTATGTGTGTGTGTATGTGTGTACGTGCTCAGGGATCAAGCATGTGCTCTACCATGGAGCTATACCCAGAGCTTGGGTTAAATTTTCATAGTTATATATTCCTGAGGGATAGGGTGGACATGAGAAAATTTAGTCCTTTCACAAATATGTAGCATATTGAGTCTGAGTCATTCTTGTGAGAAGATAAGAACTTGTACTATTTGTTTATCCCTCTCATTATTTTATTAAATATGGTGATATATATAGTAAGAAGTTACAGAAGAGTAAGGTTGCATATGTACAATTACTTCAGTTGTACGTGGTCATTATGATTTTTTTAAATCCTAAGCCTTTCACAGATTTAGAAAATCTCAGTTCTTAGGCACTTTGGAAATTTGGCTTTTATGTTATTCACTTTTAAAGCATTTTAAATTAAAAGGAGTTTTCTTGATGGTATTCTTTATGTATAATTTACCAGTCTGAAAGCATTCCTGTTTGACAATAGAATACTTGGTAGCAGTGTGTTTTGTGTTTAATAACAAAATTCTCCTTTTATAGATGCAAGTGGTAACAGAATTAAARACGGAGCAAGATCCAAACTGCTCTGAACCCGATGCAGAAGGAGTGAGCCCTCCTCCTGTAGAGTCGCAGACCCCAATGGACGCAGACAAGCAGGCCATTTACAGGTAGCACCTGGGCATGGAGGGGTAGGTTTCCAGAGGACTGTCAGAACACAAACCTGTGAGGTGGAACACCAGAAGTGGTAGCTGGGCAAAGTGGGGGGCACCATCCTGTTGCTATCACTGCATCAGGAGTGAAATCTTTTCAGTTTAAGATGTCATTTCTTAAAATTAAAAGAGAACATTTTGTACTATAAATCATTTTGGGTAATCTTGCAAAAAGAAATCTTCAAGCCCAGATGATTTTTGGTAGTCTGTGTATACCATATGTTGTTTATCTGTCTGTCAGTGGATACCTGGGTTGCACCTGTAGTTTGACTGTTATTTTGGGAGATTTTTGTTCTTTTGTGGTGCTTGGGATGGAACCTAGAGCCTTACATGCCAGGCAAGCGCTCTACCACTGAGCACATCCCCAKTTGCTAAACACAGGTGTACAAATACCTGTTCAACTCTATGCTGATGTAAATAGAGTCTTTATTCACAATTGTCAGAAACTATAAGCAGCCTAGGAGTTTCTTGGCTGATGAACTGATAGACACACAATGATATATCCATATCATGGAATGTTATTGCAACTGGAAGGAAGGGATATGGGTATTGAACAGCTAAGTCAGTCTAGCTGCAGTGTGCTGAGTGAATGAAGCCTCAGAAGGTCACATACGGTATGAAATATGATTTCATTTGCTTTAATATGGATATAACACTGGTGATGATGACCAGGTCRGTCATCTGGGGGTAGGGGCTGGGCTGAATAAAATTATGTAACAGCCAGGTGTGGAGGATCACAGGGTTGAGTCCAGCCTCAGCAACTTAGCAAGACCCTGTCTCAAAAAATAAAAAGGTCTAGGGATGGGGATGTACCTCAGTGGTAGAGCATTCCTGAGTTCAATCCTTAGTATTAAAAAAAGAAAGAAAGAAGTAAATAAGAAGTTTGGAGAAAACCTAGAAAGGTATGGGAGTAATCTTCAGTCCAGGATACCTTCTTAAATAAGCATAAACTCAGAAGACAAAGCAAAAAAGACTGATAAATTTAATCACCACAAATCAAACCCTGTATGTGAACAAAGATGGCATAATAAATAAGAAAAAGACAAACARCTGAAAGTAAAAATGACAAAGTAGGCAGATTCCTAAAGGGGTCAGCAGATGATGAATGTGAAAACAGCACAACAGTGAGATTTGTCTTTTGGCTCTTGGGTTTACAAATGGAAAGCTGAGTAGCCAGTGGTGACAGCAGGTCTGGGGCGCTGATGTTGCCTTGTCACCCCTAGTGAGCAGGTAATTAGGATACTACTTTTTGGAAATTAGTTGGCCCTTGAATAACTTCTTTTTTTTTTATTATTTTTTTTATTGGTTGTTCACAACATTACAAAGCTCATGACATATGAATAACTTCTTTTTATGGTTAATTACTGACTTGACTTTTTAAGATTGTAGATAAAAAAAAAACCAAATACATAACATACAATTCATTTGTTTTTTGTGTGTGGTGCTGGGAATTGGACTCATACCAAGCACATGCTCTACCACTGAGCTTCGTCCTAAGCCCCTACAGTTTATTTATCATCTTAATTTTTAAGTGTATGGTTTGGTAGTGTGAAGTATATTTGCATTGTTGGGAAACAGATCTTCAGAAATTTTTCATCTTCCAAATCTGAGACTCTACCCATTAAATAACAAATCATCTTTCCCCTGTCTTTGCTTTCAGTCTGGTGATCACCATTCTCCTTTGTTTTTATGAATTTACTTTTGTAAATAACTTATATAATGCTTGGTAAATAACTTACATAATGATGGTAATAGTAACTTTCACAGTGTTAGTGCAGTTCCATTCTAGGCAGCTTCCTCACAGGTGAATGCAAGTACACCTTAAGGCTCTCCTACACTGCAGATACTGTTAACTGCAGACAACCTAAATGGTCAGCAGGCAAGTGGCCACACTGTTGAGATTTCATATTACAGGTTACCATCTATCATTTAAAGAATAACAAGATTACCATACACTGACATGGATGGTATCTCTTTTAATTAATTTAATTTTAAAATTATTACTATTATTATTACTTTTTTGCAGGACTAGGAATGAAACCCAGGGCCTTGTTCACACTAGACAAGCACTCCACCACTGAGCTACATTCCCAGCCCAGCCCATGGACAGTCTCTTAAGCAACATTGACTGCATAATTTGTGAAACTCAGTAAAAAAGAAAACACAGGGCTCCTTGTGTTGGTCATCTTTTTGTCACTGTAATTGTAACACCTGACAAGGACAATTTAGATAGGAAAATTTATTTTGGCTCATAGTTTCAGAGGTTCAGTACATGGTGGGAAAACCTATTATTCTGGACCCAGGTGAGACAGAACCTCATGGTGGAAGGTGGCGGAGGAGCCTCTCTCTATTCATGGTGGCCAGGAAGCAGAGAGAGAGAGAGAGACAGACAGACAGATGGCAGGAGGCCACAGGGAAGAAGTGCCCTTCCAGGGTATGCCTGCAGTGATCCAGCCATGCCCCAGCTACCTGTAGTTACCACCCTGTTAGCCCAGGGAAATCAGAAGGCATGATCAGGCTACATCTCTCATAATCTCATAGTTCCACCTCGGTAGATCTCTGCGTTAACATAGGAGTTTGGGGGCACCTCATATCCAAACCACAGCATTCCTTGTTCCAACTAAGAGTTTTAATCTAGCACTAGCAGGGCATTGAACTAATGGGGCCCTGGGCAGCTGTCCAAACCATATACCCTTGTAGCATTTCTGTTTGTGTGACAGATTTCAGAGGTCAAAGCAAGTTTCCAGAACCATGTGAGGGTACAGTGTACTCTGAAGAAGGGTACACACCAAAATGTCAACACCTTTGGGGAGAGCAAGGAAGGATCACAGTGTGGTATCCCAGAGGGCTACGGTTGATCAGGTGGTCTGAATTTTTTTCCAAGAGGTATTTATTCAGTTATTATGTAATTAAAAATAAATACCAGAGGTACACACTTTGCACCCATTAGGATGACTATGATTAAAAAGAAAAACTTTTTCTTTTGGGGATGGTGATGCTCTAAAATTGTGGTGATGGTTGTCCTACTCTAGAATATACTAAACCCCACTGAATGGTACACTTTAAACAGCAACTTCTGTGGCATGTGGATTAGGCTCCCCAGAGTCACTCTCTGAGGCTGTGCACCCTGAGAGCCCAAGCATTCTTGTGGAGATGGAGAACGTACCTGTATTCTTTGTTCTTTTCTCCCCTAGGCATCCACTGTTTCCACTATTAGCTTTGTTGTTTGAAAAATGTGAGCAGTCCACACAGGGCTCAGAAGGCACAACTTCTGCCAGTTTTGATGTGGACATTGAGAACTTCGTCAGAAAGCAAGAGAAGGAAGGGAAACCCTTCTTTTGTGAAGATCCAGAAACTGACAACTTAGTAAGTAAAGTGACTGCTTTTTTAAAATTTATTTTTAATAATTTAAAATCAGATCGTGAAATTTTAAACTTCTTATTATAGCTTTAAGCTGCTAGTGGTTCCACTGAAGGGGAGAATGGTGTAACTGTGAAGTAGCTTGTCTTCCAGTGTGTGTAACTTGAATGTCCCCAGGTCTTCCCCTCTAGTTACATTTCCTTTAACAAGCCAGTGAAGCGATCCCTGCCTCTGTCCTAAATGCCTGGGGGCCAGTTCTCTCCTGAAGGTCTAAAGACTCCCCAGAGCTAGGGTGTTCCCTGACAAGTCTGTGTCCAACTTCTACTCTTGGCATACTCCTAATCATGGATACAGGACTTGGACTATATTCTTAAGACAACTTTGAGTCTTGAGGCTCATGCCAACTTCCTCCTGTTTCCAGGGCTCCAAAATCCAGGAATTTCCATACACTGTAGAGGAAGTGAAGAAGTTCTTGTGGCTGATGTCCCTGGTGCACCCACAGCCAGCCATCCCTTACAGGACTTGGGTGGTTCTGGCAGTCTTTGTTAGGCTCTTGCTCCCTTTGCCTTCTCACCTTAGCATGCTACTTGTTTTCATCCCTCCCAGATTCAGTTTGACATGGATCTGGCATCAGGGTACCATTGCTGGGTCACAGATGCCTTCTAGGACCTGTATCAAACCTTAGTCAGGCTCTGAGCATAGAAGGGTCTTTGGAAAACTGCTTCTTTCCTGGGTAAATTGCCCATTCATAGCTTTCCTAAGGTTTTCATTGTGTGTTTCCTCTTTACCACCTCATAGATTCTGTAAGTGGTCAGGCTTTGACCTTTGACCCTGCCTGCTCAACTCTGAAAGGAGACCCATGCCCTTTTGGGTAAGGGTCGCAGCTCTCTGCTCCTGGGACTGGGATGCAGTCATCCCTCTGGCCTGGCTCAGTGAGTGGGGGAGTGGGCATCCTCCACACCCGCCTGGCTGCAGGGAACACAGTCTCCCACCCTGTCTTTAGCACTGGTAGAGCTTGTTGCTTGGTAATTACTGGTATTAGTTGATTGATTCTTTTGTTCCATGAATATGTATGAATTATTTTATGTTAGCTTAGCACTGAACTTTGGAGTTGTTGATTCACAGGCAGATAGTACTAATGAAAACAGATTCATTATTGGCATTAATGATCTATTGTGACTTAGTGACTTCATATAAAACTACAAAACTCTTGGAAAAGTCACAAGAGGAAATCTTTGGGATTTAGGGATAGGAAAGCATTCTTAGACTTGACCCCGGAAATATGATCCAGAAAAGATGGAGTTGATAAGTCTAACTTCATCAAAATTAAAAACTGCTGCTGGGTGTGGTGGCACATGCCTGTAATCCCAGTGACTCAGGAGGCTGAGGCAAGAGGATTGCAAGTTCAAGCCCAGCCTTAGTAACTTAGCAAGACCTTAAGCAACTTTATGAGACCCCTGTCTTAAAATTGAAAAATAAGAAAGAAAAAGGGCTGGGGATATGGCTCAGTGGTAAAAGTGCCCCTGGGTTCAATCCCTAGTACCAAAAAAAGAAAAAGAAAAAAAAATTAAACCACCTGTATAGATTTGTCCCTACTTATAGAAATAGAGTGAGGGTAAGAAACCTCCTAGGCCACAGAGTGATCTGGTGGCTGGTGAGACAGCCCAGCCATCTTCAGGCAGAGCTTCACTGCCAACACAGCCTCACTAGTGCCGGTCCAGGGCTCCCCTGTCCCTATACACCAGGATGGCCAAAGCCCAGGTTAGCAGTGCTGTGGCAGTCACCTCTTTGTATGATTTCTGATGTCATTTCACTTCTCTTGCTGTCACTGAAGAGGTTTCTGATAACTAGGAACCAAATATGTATGATAATGATGACTATACTAGTACCTTTTTCTTATATAAGTCTTCATTTTCTCTGTTTCTAGATGGTGAAAGCAATCCAGGTCTTGCGTATTCATCTTCTTGAGCTGGAAAAAGTTAACGAACTTTGCAAAGATTTCTGTAGTCGATACATTGCTTGTTTGAAGACGAAAATGAACAGTGAGACTCTGTTGAGTGGAGAGCCTGGAAGTCCATACTCGCCCGTGCAATCCCAGGTACCTGCCTTTGGGGGGTCATTATGCCTTTGGCATCAACCCCAGATCACCAACCCTTTAAGAATGCTGGGTCTGTCTCGATGGCTGTCTTGCTTGAAGGACCTTCTAGGTCTCTGAAGCTGGCTTATTTTAGGAGTAAATTCAGGCCAGAAAAGAATCTTTCTGGACTTCATGTAGGGAATGGGTGAGTCCTCAGTCTGCATTCTGGCTCCCGCCGACCCCACCCCATGTTTATGGAGAGTAGAGTACCACTCATTCCTTTTTTTTTATTGGGGAAAAACACACAGTATTTTTTTTATAAGTTATAGATGGACACAATGCCTGTATTTTGCTGTATTTTGTTTATTTGTTTTTATGTGGTGCTGAGGATTGAACCCAGTGACTCACGTGTGCTAGGCAAGCTCTCTACCACTGAGCCACAACCCTAGCCCAACACATTCTTTTTTGGGGGGTGGGGATAACTGGAAATTGAACTCAGGGGCACTCGACCATTGAGTCATATCCCTAGTCCTATTTTGAATTAGTGACAGGGTCTCACTGAGTTGCTTAGCACCTTGCTTTTGCTGAGGCTGGCTTTGAACTCACAACYCTCCTGTCTCAGCTTCCCGAGCCGCTGGGATTATATGCATGTACCACTGCACCTGGCTCAGCTCAATACACTTTAAAAAATTGAATAACATATACATTAATTTTACCATCTTAACCATGTTTTTTAATTGCAACCAGTTTAAAATGCACATTGCAGTGGTTTAGTTCATTTCATTGTTGTGCATCCCTCAGCACCATCCACCTCCAGAATTTCCTCATGTTCCCACCTGAGCTCTGTCCTCAGGAAACGTATCCCTCGTTCTCCTTCCTAGCCCTGGCACCCACCAGCCCACACTTTGTCTCCATGACTTAGACTTCTCTGGGGACCTTGTATCAGTAGAATCATGTAGTATTTTGTCCTTTGTGCCTGGCTCGTTCACTGGGTACAGTGCTCTGAAGGTCTGTGTGTGATGAAGCAGTGTTCTATTTCAGCCATTCTAATGACGTGTAGTGGTAATCCATTGGGGTTTTTATTCCGTGTCCCTGCTAACTAACGGTGTTGATCTGTGTATGTCCACCACCTGTTTATCAGCTTTGGTGAAAATGTCTGTTTGTGTCTTTTGCCTGTTTTCTAATTTGATTTTCTTTAAACTGCTGTGTTTTGAGAGTCCGGCCCTATTCTAGATACTAGTCCTTTTTTGGATATAGAGTTTGCAAATATATTTTCCAAAACTGTAGCTAAGTGTCCTCTTAACATCCTCTTAACATGTCTTTTGTAGAGCAAACATTTTTAATTTGGATGAAGTTTAATTTTTCAGTACTTCCTTGTATGGATTGTGCTTTGGGTATCCAGTCTAAGAACTCTGCCTACCTTTAGATCCCAAAGATGTTGTCTTTCTTTCTTTTTTTATTTCTGAATGTTTTGTAGTCTTATATTTTACATTTAAATTCATTGTCAGTTTTGAGTTAGCTTGTGCAGAAAGTGGGAGATTTAATTGAGGTTTTTTTGGCGATGATGTTTGTCGGCACCAGGACCTTTGGTTGTAGAGCTTTCCTACTTCCACTACATTGCTTTTTGCACCTGTGTCAAACATCAGTTGGGCATGTTGGGGGGCCTGTCTCCTGTGTTTTCTGTTCTGCTCCATTGATCTGTGTGTCAACTACTACATAGTTTTGATTGCCATATCATATGATAAATCTCCAACTTGAGCAGATAGTTTCCTTCCACTTCAGTGTTTCTTCTCAAGATTGTTTTAGTTGTTCTGGTTCCTTTGCCTTTTCATATAAATTTTAGAATGATTTTGTCTAGGTCCATTTTTAAAAAATCTTACTGGGATTTTGATAGGAATTTCATCAAATCTGTATATTGATTTGGGAAGAATTGACAGCTTTACTATGTTGAGTCCTCAACCCACACATATGGTTATGTCTCTCCATTTATTTTACATCTTCTATGGTTTTTTCCCACCAGTTTTCAAATACAGGTCCTGAGTGTGTGCTTTTAGAGTTAAGCCCAAGTGTAACCATTTTTTGAGTGATTGTGAATAGATTATTTTTTTAGTTTTTGTTTCCATGTGTTCATTGCTGGTCTACAGAAATACAGTTGATTTCTGTATGTTTATTGTATGTGCTGTGACCTTGCTGAACTCATTTGTTAGTTCTAGGAGCTTTGCTTTTGTGGGCTATTTGGATTTTCTACCTGTTGAGCAAGTGGCACACCAGCAGGGACAGTGCTATTGCCTCCTTTCTGACCYCCTGTCTTTTACTTCCTGTCCTTGTGTCACTGCATTGACTGGACCATCYAGCGCCGTCTTTGAGGGTATGGAGAGCAGACTCCCGAGCCTTTCTCCAGCCTTAGGGAACCTGTCAGTCAGTACCTTGCTCATATTGGTTGAGGTATTTAAAGATGCTCTTACCTGTTGGAGGACACTCCCCTCTGAGAGTTGTTTGGCTTTTTGGGGGGATGGAATTCAGGGGAACTCGACCACGGAGCCACATCCCCAGTCCTATTTTATATTTTATTTAGAGACAGGGTCTCACTGAGTTCCTTAGTGCCTCGCTGTGCTGAGGCTGGCTTTGAACTCACGATCCTCCTGCCTCAGCCTCCCAAGCTGCTGGGATTTCAGGCGTGCACCACTATGCCTGGCTGGGTTTTTTTTTTTTTTTTCTTTCCCCGGTACTGGGGATTGAATCTAGGAGTGCTTAACCACTGAGCCACTTTCCCAGCCCTTTTTATTTTTTATTTTGAGACAGGGTCTTGCTAAGTTTCTTAAGGCCTCAGTAAGTTGCTGAGGATGTCTCCAACTTGTGATCCTCCTGCCTCAATCTCCTAAGTTGCTGGAATTACAGGAATGTGCCACCTTGCCTGGCATTCTGAGAGAAAATTTTTATTAGGTTGAACTTTGTCAGATGCTTTCTCTGTATCAGTTAGTCTGGTCGTATGATTTTCCTTATTGGTCTTTTTGGGAAATTACATGGGTTGGTTTTTCTAATATTATAACAAATCTTGCATTCTTGGAATCAATTCCATTGGCTGTGGCACATAATTATATATATTCCTCAATTGTGTTTGCTAGTATTTTGTAAAGCATTTTTGTGTCTATTCATAAGGGATTATGGTGTGAGTTTTGTTTCTGTAGTTTCTTTGGCTTTGGTGTCAGGGAAATACAGGATTCATCAAATGGATTGGGGAGTGTTTGTGGCTCTTGTTTTCTGGGAGACTATAGAAGAGGTGTGGATTTTTCTTTAGATATTTGATAGATAGAAGTCCTTATTGAAAATGCACAAACCTCTAGAATTCTTTTCTGGGAGATTTAAATTACAAGTTTAGTTTCCTTAATAGGTGCAGGGCTGCTCAGAAGGTCCCATCCATGCTGGGTGAGCTGTGGTGGCTGAGCTTTGGGCTGCCGGGCTGCCTCCCTTGCACCAGGCTTAGGTGTGAGGCTGTGTTYACTTCTTCTGACCTCTGGCATCTGCAGGATTGTAGCTATCCCATTGTTGGGAATCTGGGTCTCCCCTCCCTTTCCCCCACCCCCTTCTCTCCTTCTCCCTCTCCCTTTTTGTGTCTTACTAGAGGTTTGTTTGCTCTTTTTAATAAGCAAGCATTTCATTTCTTTGATTTTTTTTTTTTTTTTTTTTGGTGGAGGTGGGTGTCACGATGGCAAAAGGTGCGACTTGCACCGTCGAGGGGAGAGATAAAGAATGTCTATGTGCTTCTGCCCTAGTCCATGCTTTGTTCACTCAAGTCACTCAGTACAATTTCACACTATAGGTTCTTAATCAAGAAAATGACAATCCTTAACTCTGGGCATGGCAACAGACATAACCAATTCACAGCAAACAATTCTAGATTAATTCCGAGCACTGCAAACACACTTCATCACGACAGGCTCGTGACAGGCATTCCCTCTGCATGCTAAGCTCAGGTGTCT